GTTCGACTGGGAATAGCTTCAAGATTAAGGTGGACCGTCCTCGAACTAAGAAAAGGCATTGCTAACGGAAAGGGCGACCGGTAATTTTGTAGTCGATTTCCTGTTACTACAAACTAAGTCCTAGACACAAGGGGTTTAATTACTTGACCGTAATCTTTGCAACTGGGTACCTGGGTAGCCATTCGTGCGTGCGCGCGCGCGTGCGTGTGTACAGAGAGATATGGGAGTGACATCTATTGAATGCGTGAATAGCTTTTTGTTTTGACGAAAGAGAACGCATACGAGAATTGGTGTGTGCGGCAGTATGAAAGTCCGGAATGCATCATGAATGCATATTTTAATTAAAGCCTAAAACAAAATGAAGAATTACATGTTCATTTGGAAAAATAAATAATTCATCGTGGAAAGAGTTAGTATTACTTCGAGTTACAAAGTGACTGTATACTCGTCAAACGCAATTAACTTGTTAAGTGACATGGAATGATGCTACAATACGTGGATACACCACAACTGCGTACCAGCCTTAAACCTTATTTATTCGCATTTTATAGCAAATAAGGTATCTCAATAGATTATGCACATGATAACAATAAAACAGTTCATTTAAAAATACGTCATATTCAACTTTGAATCCAACCGTGAAAGATACTAGCAAAATGATTTTACAAAATAGAAGCACAAGATTTTTGCGACAAATATTGAGATCTATCAGTAAATAGATGAAAATGGTTCGTCTGTTACAATAACATAAAATTCGCTATAACTTGAAAACAAGTTCGAATAAGATATACATTTGTATAAATCTTTTTCATGGTTTTCATGTGTAAAGTCCACTGCCACGATAAACTGCGACACTTTGTATAAGATAATTTTTTCGAATTATGGCCCCAGAGCATTCGTGATTTGTTATCGCTCGTGTTTATATTTTTTGCCTTCATAGAAGATGATGTAATAGAGCCTAACTTAGATATAAATCAAAATACTCAAATTTTCGTATGTCGTTCTATATTTGTAAGAAATCAGTAGAACGTTTCTCAACGTTCCTTTATTTTTATCTTTCATTCTTTCAACTCATTTGGAAATTGTTCCATGATTCAGAACAAATCGGACAATCGCATTCTTCTCAAACACAATTTTTGCTTTTCCAACTGATTAATGTACACTGGAACATCATGTATACTAATTTCAATTATCCGATTTTCCATTATGCAAATAAACTACGTATCTATGAATGTTTACTTTTTAAAAGATGCACCTTTTCTGCTTCAACTGTCTCATTTCAGTATCTTGTCCGAAGTTAATATTTACAATAAGATTTCATTCGCATTACAAGTACTAAAAGAAAAATAGTAACGGCGAAGTTGAAATATAAATGAAACATTACTGAACGTGCACAAAATGGCTGAAAATGCATCTAAAAACTGTTTTAGGTCTGACTGATTTATGGCATGTTCACAAATCTGGTCCTTCTGTATCGATGATCCAAAAAATCGTTAATCCGAACGAACTTGTCTCCTAATTAATTGGGATGATCGTGATTCTACTGCACTGATTCCCTCTTTCGGTAGGTAACACCTTTCTCACGTGCCGTGGATTGGTGAGTTGGCCAAGGGCAACGGGTAGAACAGCAAATGTATAAAATAAAGATAGAAAAGCATGGTATTTTCTTGGGAGTCGGTGTTCTAATACCCATGGACGGGTGTGCAATTTATAAGTGTTCTCCAATTTCTTTGCAAGCCGTGTACCCGGGCAACGTGCCGGGTCAAGGTGGAGTCCGCCGGTAACAAAGTCACGCCGTGGGGAACTAGGAAGAGCATCTGGCAGGACGGCAGCGAGAGTAACGTGATTGCACGTTCATTCGTACGTTATGGCCGCTATAAACAACACTGTTAATTTTCAGTCGCGTTCAGTCGAGACGTTAGACCCTTGCTACGGGGCCGATATGATATCTCAATGACGGCTGTTGAATTTGCATTGCATTAGGCTTGCCGCAGAAACTACGCGTACACAGCGACGTTAACAAGAGAGAGTGTTAACGAGAGGGTGTTAACGAGAAAATGACGCAGCAAACCGGGGAAAAGTGGGAGCAGTAACAGTAACACTCCTCGTAATTCAGCCGTTTCGCCCGCTTGTTAGACTTTTTACGCCGCCCTGCTCCGGGAAACGACGGCCAACAAAGGTTCATTCGGTTTGCTACGGCCTTTCTAGACCGCGATTGTTGCTGCTAAAGGTACCGTCCAGCTGACTCGAACTGCTCAGTATCGGACCAATTAGAAAGATTACGCCGGAGGCTTTCATTTCGGTCGTTGCGCGAATTCGTGATTGGTAGCAAGAGGTGTCGGCGGTTCGACCGTGGAGAATCGATTTTCTGTATTCCTACGTGTATCATTCTCAGAAGGTACTTGGAGATATTTGATATCTGGATATTTTCGCACAATGAGACTGAACGGAGTTGGTCGGCTTGAAAATGTTCTTCCTGGAACAGCTGCTAGGTTACATGCTTGCCTAAGTGAAAATGTAGAGGTTTGTTTAACACCATGTTTCCGTGAACAAGTTTATTCTAACTGAAAGTTACGTCGGCGAAATTCAGTTTTGATTCTTTGAAATCGAAAGATTCGAAAATCAAAATAGTCAAATTACTTTGATGCGATGGAATATTTATGGGTGACAATTTATCAATCAACGTGTGAAAAATCATTCGAAAAATTGAATCAACTCGAAGCGTATAGAGAAAACCTCAATGTCAGCACAAACAAGGACTCAATTTTTTCCACGATTGTATTTTCCGTCCCCTAACAAATAACAGGAAACGTCCTGGATGCAGGATAAATTCCATTCGTCGTTCCCCACGATTTGACAAGGATCCTCGTACACGGAAAGTGTCCTTAGTCACAGTGATCAACCGTGTAAGTTCTGCAGAAAATCGCCGATACTTGGAAACGTTGGAATCATAACTTTTTGCCGCACGACGATTACCTTAGCATCTTGCGATAAAGCCAGGTCCATTCTGGTGTATATACTCACCTTTCTCTTTTACGCTCTCAATCCTCCTCATTCGTTTCTTCCTGTCTCTTCGTCTTCTCTTTCTCTCTCTCTCTTTCTCCCTCTCTTCCTCTCCATCTCTTTCTCTACCTATCCTTTTCTTCCTGTCTCTTCGTCTTCTCTCTCACTCTTTCTCCCTCTCTTCTTCTCCATCTCTTTCTCTACCTATCCTTTTCTTCCTATCTTTCTCTCCCTTTCGCTGTGACCCTTCCTATGATCTCGTTCTTTTTCCACCATCGCTTTTCCTTTTTCGCTTTTTTCACTCCTTCCTTCTTCTTGTCGTCGTTGTTATCGTCCGAAGTAAAATCTCTTTGGACTAGCAAGCGGAGAAGGAGGTGGGCAACGTTCCGCCGATAACGAACTGGTTAACACGCGTTCATCACCCGCAGCCACGTAGGTATATTAACCAGGCTATCCCTCTTGAATTCTCTACCTACCAGCAGTCGCCCCGTAATCATTTCTTCTCGTTTCTCTTGTTACTGCTACACAGACAATTGGTCGCGCCGTGAATTATCAAATTCCTGTGAAATATCGGATGTAAGATCTGTAGCGATTCGGGCAATTAACCGGTTAATAGAATGATCTTCCGACAGAGAATACTTGAACACATACAAATAACGTGGAATTACGAAGATTCCAAGTGATTTACTTTGTAGTCATTGCAGTTTTAATTTAATTTATAGTTTTACATATGTTTTAACTAAAGAGCAGATCTTTATGCAGATTTAAATTTTTAACGCATTCGCGAACGCTGACGTGAATTCACGTTTTTGCAAATATTTTCGTTCAAAGTATTTTATTCTTCTGCTCTTTTCTACAAACAATAGATCGTCACAAGACTAATATTTCAAAAGAAATTTTCTAATTTTTATTCTTGTTTTAATGTCCAAAATTCGCGGCAATTAACTTAAAACTTCCTTCATTTTTACCAACAATCAGTATTAGAAAAGCGAAAAATTTGCCAGTCACGAATGTGTTAAGAAAGTAATTCTAAAAATAAAATTACGATGGAAAATAGTGTTTTTTAACAAATATTATAAAAAGCATTACACTTTGTATATTTTATATATTTTTTGGATTGTCTGCAATCCATGCACTGAATTTGCTTCTGAATTTTTTAATTATCCATAAACGCATAAAAATGCGTAGTCTAGCCGTAACAGTACAATAGAAGTATCCCTAAGTAAATGAACAAGAAAACTAAAAGTCAGTTAAACATAAGGAGGAATGAAAATGCCAAGTAGAAAAAAAGGTTTATATCAATACCTGGAGAACTAAGTAAATGCTCGTAATGCCCATGCATTAACCATGAAACTGATATTTGACAAAAACAAATGTTGCTATAGTATACATTTGGAAAATATATGTATTCGCTGTTATGCATAAATTAATTTGTGTGTTATTATAAATAAATTTATGTTCAGTTTAAACAGTACTCTGCTCATAACATGACAGCCTTTCTTTCTATGGCACTAAAAGTAAAACAAACTTGGTTGTTACCAAGTCTTCACAATGTTTATGAACGTGAATATGAAGTGATCCTTTAATATGCTAAAATGTTACAATTTTATACATTTGGAAAAGTTATATTATATTTTATTATATTATATCAAGTTATAAGTTATATTAAATTTTAGATTTTAGAAATCCAGCTTTCTCTTAATTCATGCACATATTTATTCAAATGTAATACGATAATTCGTAGATCAGATCACAAGATCTGAAATATCCATTATGAATAATTCAGTGTAACTTCATACAATCTTAGCTTTCCATGTTGCTGTTACATGGCCAAAGGTTAATGTATGTACTTCATCGCTGTCACAAATAAAACTCTGTCGTTGATTAGAAATGAAAATTCTTTCAGCTACGGGTGCAACTTCAGTCTACCAAATTCACAAGTGTATCGTAACCTTCGAAAGAAAAGAAATTGTAACAGAAAGAAATAGGACGCTGTCATGTATGGTTTTTACGTTTTCGACGTTTATGTGTCACAATTAACGTTGAACAAAGAAATGTACGCTGACACCGGTGGGGCAACGCTCGTGGTAAAAGTAGTTTTCATTAATTTGCCAACTGCAGAAGTTACGGAGCGCAGCCGATCTCGGAAAAATGACATCTACGCGTACGAGTTTAAAGGTGGCCAGTCCTGCCACTTTTCAGCGTTATCTGAGGAATTAGTCAAAATGATGAAAAAAGCGCCGTTACACATCGGCGTTTTTAGAGTGGATGATAATTTTCCTGTTTGCGGCGTTCGCACTTACCTCACTGGTTGTGCTTGTGACTTGGTGAGATACAATTTCTTTCGATAATCCAATGTATTGCACAGGATGTTTCTAGATGCGTGGGCATAACTTCATTTATATATACGACACATTAAAATACAAAAATGTTTATATAAACATACATGTGCTCGATACGATCTTGTTTCCGAATTACAATTGTTTTTTAACACGTTGAATGCCGCACGATTTTATACAGTAAAATACACAGAATATTAGAAATATAATATTAAATCATTTGTACATAACAGTAAATACATATATTTTCCAAATGTATACTACAGCAACATTTGTTTTTGTCAGATAACAGTTTCATGGTTAATGTATGGGCATTACGAATATTTACTTAGTTCTCTAGGTATTCATATAAACCTTTTTTTCTACTTGCCATTTGATCGAATTGTATTTTTATTATTGCATGTTCATCTAGCCGAATGTTACCGTATTAGATAGCATTATTTATAATACAGAAATATTGGGGGTCATCGGTGATTCCCATGGCATTCAACGTGTTAATTGTACCGATTGTATACACCTGTCCACCGATTTGCGCGAGTTCGCTTTTACATGGTTTTCAAAATAACAGATTTAAAGAAAAATAAGCATTTCTATAGTAAATTTTTTATTTCATTCGATTAGTAACACTAGCATTTAAATAAAAAAAAGCGGATTCCCCTTTTTGTGAACACACAAGAACCATTCAGGTGAATTAGTGCAATAAAGCTTAGTAAATCTTAGAAAGGTGTGTGTCGTTATGGTTTTTCTAATCGAAATTTTTTAAAACGTCATATTTACTGGTTAATGATAAACAATTATTGTTTTTTGAGTACTTTTATAATTTACTTAAAATTGTATAGATTTGGTTTCTTCGTTCAACTTTTGGTTCCACTTATTATGTGTTGGATATTTTTCGTTTCTATAAAAAGAATTATGTAATTATAGCTTTATATATTTGTCATTTCATGAATAAACTGATATTATGTTTTTCATGGTATTTTTCTCTTATTTTACGTTGAAATAAATGAATTTAATTCAATACGTAACTGATTAAATTATGCACGTTTTGGTTTGCTTTCGATTTACACGGTTTTATGTACAAAAATCCACGATTTCGAGGTACACGGTATTTTATTAAAGAATTCATGATATTGTTTTCTGTACAGAAGTTGATATAGTAACGGTCTACAATGAAATATGCAACGTTAATCACCAATTAGATGCATGCGTGCCAAATTGATTTTTAATGTCGAAAGTTGTCAATTTAAATTGTTTTTTTATATCTTTTCTGTTTACCTCTTGTGTTTGTGTTTTACGTGTGTAACTTCCTCTCTCTTGAATTAAAAATTATAGTAATTTATCGTTTATATTGAATAATATCTTAAATATTCGTTCATGATTCTGGAAAATTCTTCAACTCTTTTAATAATAAAATGAATTTCTTACTTGCAGAATACATTACTGGTACAAAATCCAGAATCTTTCATATTTAGGGGACCGTTTGATCTGGTAGATTCTGGTAATAGTTTTGCTGGTCAGTTAGGTGCTACGATTACCGTGACTAATATGGGAAGGTACTATAGATTGTGTTACATGTTTACTTATTAACCATAGGAAGACTATTAAATACTTTAGATATATTACGAACGAGAAAAGTAATGCAATTTTAATACTCTCTGGCCGTTAAGCTCGAGATATTTTCTACTAATTGTAAGTCTTTCTACAATTAATTTAAAATTATTAATCATTTTAACGAATTATTTGTTCTTATTCTTAACTGATTTATGATATCAGTTTTCTTAATTATTAATATTATTAATATTATTATATGAAATGTAGGTATCTTACACAGACTTAAACATTGATTCCTTATAATAAATTTTATGTTCGTTACTGATATAAATTGTAGTTGAGTATTAATTATTTTAACATCCCTTTATATTTATAATATTAATAATTTTAACATCAGATATACTATTTTCAATAGTATTAGTAAAAACGAATTGTTTGCACTGTTTTTCATCAACTAACTACCTTTCGAAATACATTTCAATTAAAACACTCAAAGTAGTATAAAATTGTCGAAAAGAAAATATAATGAATAAATCTTCGGATTTTAATATTTGACACTCGATAGCGAAAAAGCGTGTGTTTTATTAAATGCAGTATGAAAAAATATGGAAAATTGTTTGTCCTTTTTGCAGATGCATAATGCGACATTACGCTCTTGTGCCCAACTCCTTCCTTTTCAAAACCGAATCCGAGGAAAACGAGTATAAATGTAGTTTTAAGGAAAAGTCGAAATCGTCTGGCAGTCATCGTACGATGAATTTAGATGTCGATTCACCAGGTAGCTTACTCAGAGATATTATTGGAATATCTCCAATAGCTGGATATCTTGCTCATGGATGTCCACCACCTCAATTGTCACGAGAACCTTTAGTGGATCCAAGAGCGCCGCAGAGCAAGAAAGCGAAACGAAAGAGAGGCAAGAAGAAATAGGCGAATCCGACTGTTTCGCTTACACAATAATTTCATTGCTAGATTGCGAATGTATACAGCTGTAGTATTCGCCAAACTGTAAATTACAATAAAATAAATACGTCCACTGAAATTTGACATACTGTTTATATTACTACATAATTGTAACAACAAAACTTACCAGAAATTAAATTTTCTTTTCTATATCACCTTCTCTAAATAAGTATACAAAAATATATATTTACATATTAATTCGTAGTCCGATTATTATTTGAATATTAATTGGCTCTCGAAATTCAGTAATACAGGAATAATTTGTTTGATTATGGAAAAACAAGATACACACTCGATAAAATGAATAATATTAAATATAATTAAATATTCTTCATTTGCAACAATTATTTTCCAACTCATGTATATATGTCTCCACAAATTCGTGTTAAAGCAAATAACATTTCTTTAAAAACGAAGAAACGAGTAAATCCTTTAATAACTAAGAAGAATATTATTGACTCGATTAAAATTTACAAAAAGTAGAAAATATCACAACAACGGACTTAACCGCATTGGCTTCTGAGCGGTTCATATTACTTTCCGCGCCTCGTGTGAGATATCGAAGATGAGAATAAGTATTGATCGGTTGAAACGCGTCGACTTAAGATGAAAAGCAGTTAACGGCGTATCATGAGAAGAGAGAGCGATTCAGCGTCGTGGAGGATCTTTCTCACGGAGCTCTATGCTGTAGGGCAAAGATGTCTGCATACGTCCGACGACACGATTATGATTTATGCCGAATCGAATCGAGGCTGATTTATGAGAACGTAATGTTCTTAACTCCGGGATATGTCTGGAAGGCGGCACGCGGAACGATTTCCGAAACGCATTCTATTCGTTCGGATTCAGCGAAAGGTTCAGTTGTCGCTGAGAGCGATAAAGACGTATTTACTTTAAAAAGACCAACAGAAACTAATAACAGGTATATAAGTGTAACGTCGTGGAACGTTTAACTAAGACGCTGGGAAAATTCTATTCTTCGCTGTTCAGATTTTCACCGACAATTTCTACATTATTTACTCACCTCTTTGCCGAGTACTAAAGAGATTGTTATTAGAGGTTTAGTGGATTTTACTCATTTAATCCTTCGCGATCGGTGCCGCCACAGTGGCGACATTTAATATTTGTTTTCGAAATCGGTGTCGCTAATATGGCGGCATGTTCTTTTTTTGTGAGTACAGTGTTATTTTACAATCGAGAGGTATTGTATTTATTACTCTTTACAGTATTTATATTCAACAAAACACATTAATTTCAACAAATTTTTAATATCCATATATTTATTATAAACTACCTATAGAAAAATAACTTTGAAAATATACATATTTGCTTTGACTAGTTGATACTGTCACCAGAAAAATGTGCCGATCGTAAAGAAAGTTGTACAGTAATTTAGGAAAAGGTTCGTATTTATGAACCAGTACTTACAGAATTTGTTGAAAAAATAGTATTTAAGGAGGATTTGTACTATAAAATGCTACTCTCTGCTTTGTAGTTTGAAGCAGGTACATAGATAAGAAGCTGCAGTACACTTGGTATTTTTTGGAGTTTTATTTTTGGCAAGAAAGTAACGTAATTTACACGGCACTTGCATTTTACTTTAACACTAAAACTACCGAGCAGTTAAATTGAGTTTTTGAAATTTCTATATAGAAACTCCAAGAGTGCATCTGTTGAGATTTTAATTGGTTTACATTTCAGTTTGCGTGGTGCTGAATCAATTTCTTTAATAATTTCTCAGAGAAACATTTATTATGTTTGTAATTATTGCGGGAAGAAGACACCAGGAATGGGTGATTTTGACCCATGGCAGTTATAGTGTCAACACGGCCAGCTCAGACAAATATAAAAAGTACATTAATTTTTGTTCGTTTCGTGAATTATATGTGCAATCTTGCTGGATTAATGAAATTTTATTTAAATGTATGTATATGATTTTTTATTTTACAAAAAGTAAATAATACTGTTTCCTATGGATTGGTTAAATTTATTCTGTGTATTTCATTTGAATGTGAATTGTGTACTCAGATTACACGATTTCAATTTGCGCGACATTTTCGGGGAACAATCTTTGTTTCCATTTATTTGATTGGTTTATAGACTCTATTTTTATTTTGACTATAAATTTTTACAATTTCTTCGTTTATTATACTTATTGGTAATGAATTAGATTTTTTATCGAAATTTTCCCATCCTGCGTTGGGAAAACATTCTTTTCGCTTAACCGTTTGAGTGTGAGACAGTTTTCCTTAATGTGTGAAAAGTGCAGAGCATATAACTTTATATACATATATACCTTACTTGTTATAAGTATTACTTACAACTTTGTAATGTTATAAGCGTAAACATTTTTTATTATTCAGTACAAGCATGTGTTGCAAAAGTTATTCCGATAACAGCGTGATGTCCGTACTGCCGACACAGTACGATCGCGCTCTTGCGCACTCGAACGGTTAAGAAAAGTGTCAGTACAAGTGCACGGAGGAAATTCAACGAAATAACAAATATTTTGAGATTGCAAGCAAAAAATGCAGCTTTCCTAATGAAATGGTAAAAATATACGATACATTTTTCTTGTAGTTTGTGGAATATGTAACATATTAACAAAGAAATGGTCGTTTGACACTAGAACTACCAAACATTCAATGCGATTGATATATAATCCTTGTGAAAATAGTAACAACGGATTTTTTTTCGGTTTCTTCAGATGTTCGTCATAGTATTCAAATAAAACTATTTATTTTCCAAATCATTTGGGATATTTAATATTTTTAAGATACCAATAATTGCGAAATAAGAAAACTGAAACCAGTCATCCTGACTGACGCGGTAGTTCAAGTGTTAATTGAAAAGGTGTGACCTCTTGGAAACTTTTGGAGGGTAATGTACTTATTTATGTTTGAATTGCTCACTATTGCGGATGATAATGATAATGAGAAAGAATGAATAAAAAGTCGAGGAACAACAGACATTATAGCTTGTAAAAAAGTTTAATGAATGTAATACTGCGAATTGCAAAAGTATTTCATATTTTATGACGCATTTCATAATACCATATAATCAATTGCACTAATTGTACCACTTAATTACCTTCACGCGTCATTAGGTGCCCAGCAGGTTTATAATTTGCAACTGTTGCTGGCTTATGCAATTTCAGATTCTCCCGTTAGAAAATAACTAGAATAAAACAATTAAAACAAAACTGAACCTGATTTCCTGTAATTTTCCTGCAGTGCAGGGTGACAAATGCTTAACAACGCCAGAAAACACTGCGAGAGATATGTAAAGTTTAATTAACATTACCTTATTCTCTAGGGTGATATGGAAAACATTTTGCAGCTAATGTTGACAACATGTTTAAAATTCTTCTTCACTTTTTAGAATAGAATTTGTCTGTTTACAACGACAAATTATTCTCTAAAGTTGGTGACATTACTTTAAACAAACGAAAAAAAAAATAA